AGAGAGAGAGAGAGAGAGAGAGAGAGAGAGAGAGAGAGAGAGAGAGAAAAGAAAGAAACTTGACTACTCTTCGTCCACATACACAAAAATTAACTCAGATGGATCAAAGACCTAAATATAATACCTGAAACAATGAATTACATAAAGAAAGCATAGGTGCTAAATTTGTGAACCTTGGTCTTCTAAAAGATTTTATGAATTTTGCTCCAAAGGCAAAGGAAGTAAAAGACAATATAAGTGAATAATATAAAACTAAAAGCTTCTGCACAGCAAAAGAAACCACCAACAAAATGATAACCAACAGAGTCAACAGAGTCTGAAAAGCTGTTCAGATCCAAATAATATAAGAAACACATACAACTCAACAAAAAACAAAAAACTCAATTGAAAAATGGGCGGAAGACCTGAACATACACTTCCCCAATAAGAAATAAAAACGGTCAGCAGATAAATGAAAAGATGATCAACTTTGCTAGTTAATAGGGAACTGCAAATAAAAGCTAAAATAAGATACCACCTCCCAACTGTTAGAATGGTTACTATCAGTGAGAGTAGTGATAACAAGTGCTGGGCAGGCTGTGGAGGAAAAGGAACCCTCATTCACTGCTGGTGGGAATTTACACTGGTGCAGCCACTGTGGAAAACAGTTCCTCAAAATGTAAGCATATGACCCAGCAGCCCCTCATCTGGATATCGACCAGCAAATTAAGAAAGCATTTATTTGCTAAAGTATATGCACCCCTGTGCTCATGGCAGCATTATTCACAGTGGCCAAGACATAGAAACAACTGAAGTGTACTTGGGTACATGATTGGATAAAGAAGACGAGGTGCATACATACAGTGGGATATTACTCAGCCCCAAGGAAAGATGCTGCCATTTGACACAACATGGATGAATATTAACAGTACCAAGCTAAATGAAATAAGTCAGTCAGACAAAGAGAGTGAAGTACCATATGATTTCACTCATAAATAAAATATAAAACTCAAAACAGCACTGAACAAACAGGAAAAAACAAACAGAAACAGACAACAGAATAGTGGTTACCAGAAGGAAGGATGGTGACAGGTAAGTGAAGGGTAGGATAAATGTGTGGTGATGAAAGGAAAATTCATTTTGAGTGGTGAGCATACAATTCAATATTCAGATGGTATCATAGAAATGTACACTTGAAACCTGTATAATTTTATTAACCAACTTTCACCCCAAAACATAAATGTAAGATTAAAGAACAAGATTTGACAAGATTTGGTTTGACAAATGTGTTGTGAATAGAGCTCACAGGAACCTAACACAGATTTACACTAGAAGCAGTGGGTCCATGTCATTCGAGTCTATTTTTGTAGCAAGTACAATATACAACATGGGTATTGCACACATAAGACATAAGTAGAAGGCAGGGGCAAAAGTGAGTTTACAGTTGTGAATTCAAAAAAAAATGTATAATTGTGTTACTATTAATTTATTAATTATTGTGTTATTTAATGAATGACTAAATTTACTTTCACAAAACCAAGGATATATATTACGAAAAAGAGAATTTGTTAAAACTAGCATATAAATAATGATAATAATATGAAGATACTACAAAAAGTCAACTGAAATTAAAAAAATCTTGAAGTAAATAACAATTGTATTGCTAATATTTTAATTTNGACAAAACCATGGATGTATATTACAAAAAAGAGAATTTGTTAAAACTAGCATATAAATAATGATAATAATATGAAGATACTACAAAAAGTCAACTGAAATTTAAAAAATTTTGAAGTAAATAACACAATTGTATTGCTAATATTTTAATTTCAATTCACTATTTTTATACTGTTNAAAAAAATCTTGAAGTAAATAACAATTGTATTGCTAATATTTTAATTTCAATTCACTATTTTTATACTGTTAATCCTGTTTAGATTTCAACAGTCCTCTGTAACTTAATGAAAGCTTTCCACTACTGTTCTTAAGGATGTGGGGTGTGTTCACCTGCATGCAGATAGGTTTAATTTTATAGGAGTATTTTATGAAAAATTTGAATTTTTTTTTTTACATTCGTTGCCCACGATATTTACAATAATGTCAGGAGGAAACAAGATGTTGCATAAGATCATGGTCAGGACGACTCTTCTTGTAATAGTCTCAGTGCATCAAGTTCATTCGTTTCTTTCCCCTTCAGTGTCCTCAAAAGGGAGCTCTCAGCCACGGTGTGGGTTCATGCCTGTGAGGATGAATTTGGGTCTGGGTGAGCGAGTGTGTGTGTGTTCACCGGCTCCTGCGTGTGGCTTATCTGGAACCTAGGTATCATTGTACATACCGTGTTTGTAATACTTTGGAAATTTCTTTGCATTTCGTTGTGATAAAATTTATTTCATTTTTCCATCTCCTTTTTCAGAAGAACTTATGAAGAAGTTTGGTAAGTGAACTGAGATGGCCTTTACTCCCAGTCCCTTTAAAATGACTACTTTCCTATTGTCTCTCACATTTCCTGCCTTTGTGTTGATGTGTAATTCATTGCTTCACGCTTCTACACGTCTTCTAAGCCATGCAGGGTTTCCTGTAGAATCAGTTGCTTACTCTTATCCAAATATGTTTTTATTGAGACCATAATGTACAGCGTAGCTACGGCAAGCGTGAGACATGAGTAGAGATTAGGGCAAAGGGAGGTTTACACTTGTGATTACAGGAAGCACAGTTTGTCCTCGTATTATTACAGGTTAATTAAATTTTTGTATTACTTAACAAACAACTGTAAATGTACTTTTGCCCCACCCTGTAGGCACAGTTAGTAGCACAGGGCTTGTGAAATCTATTGAACCACAAGTAAAGCTAATCAACACACAATCTGAAGAAAAGTCAAAAGAATTTGAGAGTATTTTTATAAGTGAACGGGACTCTATTCCTTTTTTTTTTTCTGAATATACTACATTTCGACATTTCCGCCCTTTTAATTTTGCAAAAATAGTCTTTGAGGAAACCAGAGCTTGCCACCTCTGTTGCTGCATGTGCTTGTGCCTGGGCAGGTGTGTGTGTGCGTCCTGTGTCCATCTGCATGCAGACAGGTTTAATTTTGTACGACTATGTATGATAAATTTGGATCTTTTTTACATTTGTTGCCCAGGATATTTACAATTTCTTTTCATTCTATTTTTCAGAAATCCTTCAGGGAAAATTGGGTAAGTTATTCCAGACAACGCTTTATTCCAGTCACTTTAAAAACATTATTCTTGACTTGATGCCTCTGCATTGTCTGATTTTTCCCTTCATGACATCGATCGGCTCGCCTGGCTTTTGGATCCCTGCTCCTCCTTTGGCAATTTCTGTGTTTATAGACTTCTCACACATGAGGTTGTGTCCCGTTGCTCTTCCTCGCTCCCATGCCTGCCAGTTTCTTCCTCACTCCCATGCCTGCCAGTTTCTTCCTTTCTCCATCTCACACCTGCCCTTCCCTAGGAACTAGCGTTTTCCCTGCTCCCCGGAGACTTGCCCCATTTCCAGTGTGAATCCTGTGAGATGCAGACGATGAGGCTCAGAGGCACGGGATTTCCACTCTACACACACTGTCCATAAACGGCTCTCCCTGAGGACCTCTGCCAATGCTTCCCAAGTTCCAGGGGCCATTTTCTGCACANCTCTCCCTGAGGACCTCCGCCAATGCTTCCCAAGTTCCAGGGGCCATTTTCTGCACATTCTGAGGGATGAGAGCAGATTCCCAGGGTGAGGATCAGGGCACTTCCTCCTTTTTCCTGTCAAACACGAGAGTAAATCCCGTCAGGCTCTGGTATAGTGTCACCTCGAGTCTTACTCTTTCACCCACCCTGTAGGCTCAATCTTGTCCTTCAATTACATTTTATTAATGATATAACTTTGAAGTTTTGGTATTTTTAAAATTTTTGCGTATATTTTTTAGAACAAATAATTAGGTTATTTGATTTTAACTCTCACCATTTGTACACTTCCATTCCTTTCAAGTGGTTTTGTTTACATTAGCTCATTTCAGCATAAATTATAATAGAAATCCAAATAGTGTTAGGATTTGTTACATAGGTGGACAAAAGTGTTAATAGATATGCCTGAAAACTAACCCTGCATTTCTCAGTACCAGTGATTCATTATTCTCTAATTCAGTGCTTTAAGCAACTTTTCATCACTACAGTGCTGCAATAATAAAAGTAATCTAATCAAAAAATAAAATTCTAANGTTAATAGATATGCCTGAAAACCAACCCTGCATTTTCTCAGTACCAGTGATTCATTATTCTCTAATTTGGTGCTTTAAGCAACTTTTCATCACTACAGTGCTGCAATAATAAAAGTAATCTAATCAAAAAATAAAATTCTAAGTATGTAGAGTTATTAAGGGATTAAGAACAGTTTTAAAAGTAGTCATCATTGCAATATTACTTTTTTTCTCATTTTAATAAATATTCTCGCCCAGCCGGGCTTGGCTCAGCGGTTGAGCGTTGACCTAGGATCCAGGCGATCGGGGTTGAATTCCCGGTCAGGGCACATGCCTGGGTTGCGGGCTCGATCAATGACTCTCTCATCATTGATGTTTCTATCTCTCTCTCTCTCCCTCTCCCTTCCTCTCTCTGAAATCAATAAAGATATATTTAAAAATAAATAAATAAATAAATAAAATAAATATTCTCCTTTTATTCCTTCTTATAATTTTTGTAGACTATTTTCTGGATAAATATGAGCTCTCAGTTAGGGTTTGTGTGTGTGTGTGTGTGTATTTGTGTGTGTGCCCGCGTCCGTTTCCATGAAAAGTGTGTTGTGTTTATCTGCATCCTAACTTTAATTTTACATACAAATTTGTCAAGAAATTTAAATTTCATTTGTGTTCCTTTTTCAAGATACTTACATTGGTTTTCCATTTTTCTTTTCAGAAGTGTTGCAGAAAAATATTGGTAAATTTTCTGACAACTCATTACTCCCAGACCCCTTTAAAATGACTCTTTTCTTAGTGTCTTACATGTCCTGCCTTTTAAATATATGTCATCTGTTGGTTTTTCTTTCTCCTGATGTCTACACTCCCTGCCCAAGTTTTGTATATGGACTTCTCCTATATTAAGTTCTCCCCATGTGTTTCATTCTTCCTAATTTTTCTTTTTTTATTCCATACCATTTCTCCTTTAAAAACATTGGCTTCTTTTGTCTCCAGTGGCTTGTTATAATTTCACTAAGTGGTGAGATAAAGAGCATTAGATTGATATACCCATGGTTTCTATTTCATATATATTTCTGGAAAACATCTCAACTCTCTATTTCTGTCATGTGGTTGGGCCTATTTCTTTGCAATTGATACTTCGCCAAACCCTAAGAGATGAAAGTAGTCAAAAAACTTGCTGAGTAGGTTTCTCCATCTGTTGTTCTATGAAAGATATGTAAATTCTGTTGTCATTTTTTGGAAACTGTAACATGAGGCTCAATCTTCCAATGACCTTTATCATATTACCTAAGGCTTCACAAGTATACAAATATATTTATTTCCTTTTCATTGAATTTATTGGGGTGACACTGTTTAACAAAAGTACACAGGTGTCAGGTGCAAAATTCCACAACACATCATCTGTACATTGTATTATGTGTTCAGCACCACAAGTCAAGTCACCACCCAACACCGTTTGTCTCCTCTATATGCTCCTCCCCCATGTCTCACCCCAAAAATCACCATATTATTGGAGGGATTGAGCAAAACAGAAAGAAAAAAAAAGAGTAAACAAATATTTTGCACAACTTTTCCTGGCTTTTTAACACAACTGTAGTATTTATTCTTTTCATTTCTGCATTTTATTGGCATAGTAGTTAATTCTACAAAATGAAATCATTTTATGTATCCAGAAGAAATTTATATTTTTAAAAAGTTCAATGATTTTATATATATAATATGAAAATTTATATATATATAAATTCTAATTTTTTTCTGTAAATGACTCGAGAAGCTAATATGCTAGGGTGTTTCTGAAAGTATAATAGCCCCCACTTCTAATAATATTTTTGATTATACTTTTGTTTTTATATTGAATGGTATTTGGGCATATATCTCTTTAATGTAGGTGGCAGGCTACATCTGACTCCTGCTGCAGATGCACTTTTGGCCAGATGGGCGCCTTTACAGTATTCTCCTCATCACTTTTTAAAATACCTGTCCTGTGTTTGCATTTTATTCTTAAAGAGGTTATAAGGTTAAATGAAAGACAAATGATTGATATTGTTTACACTAGAGGAAGTCATATCAACTTTATCTCATGATGTCATTTCCTAGCTTAAGTAATTTTTCTCCAATGCGTGGGTGATGAGAGGAAGGCTCAATTCAAGCCCTATGAGTTATGCCTCCAATCTTCTGTCTCTCTTAGAATAGGATCGGATAAGATACAGTAATACAATAAAATATACTTTAGTAAGCAAAGAAGCATTTAAAACATTATCTTTCTAACATTCAATAAATTTTCTCTGACATTCAAGCCACAAGTTCTCCCTCATCTCCTTCCTTCTTGTCTTTATTTTATGCGCACTCCTTCCACTCTTCCTCTGTTCCTCCCACCTTTTGTTGATTTCCTGTTTTTCTAGCCTTCACTCAACAGTTTGATCAATATGTTTGAAAAATGGAATATAAAGATATAGCATAGAAAGAGAATGTCCAATGATTCAGAAGGAGACACATGACAAAGCAGAGATAAATGGAAAATACAATGAGAGAAAACATGAAACAAAAACAAACAAAAAAAAGGAATCATTTTCTGTTTTGTTTTTTTGCAGGCAGGACTAGATCATTATTTTATGCCGGTGAGTGACATGGACTTTGACAAAGAATATTCTATTATTGAAAACATCTCAAATGAACACATAATGTGTGCAGTAGTATATATTGAAAATAAAAGAAACTACAAAACATATATTTCATGAAATCAATAGATTACCCAATATTTTAACAGATAATGTGTTTGAAATACTAAATTTTAGCAGTTTTTAAACTTTATTTTTATTGTTGACACTACTACAGATGTCCTCCCCCCTTCAACCACCTCCACCCACCGCCTCCCCAGCTTTCCTCTGGCCATCACCTCTTTGTCGCCTGTGTCTGTGGGTTATGCATACATGTCCTTTGACTAATCCCTTCACCTTCTTTCATCCAGTCCCCCCTCTCCCCTCAGACAGCTGTCACTGTGCTTCGAGTATCCATGCCTCTGTTTCTACTTTGTTTGTTAGCTTAGTTTGTTCATTAGATTCCTCATAGAAGTGAGAGCATATGGCATTTGTGGAATATATGCAACCATAAAAAAAGGAATTCTTACCTCTGGGACAGCATGGATGGATCTGGAGATTATTATGCTAAGTCAAATAAGCCCGTCAGAGAAAGAAAACCAGCACTTATTTAAAATATTGTATCTCACATCATACTTTGAGGGTAGGTAAAGGAAAAAGAAACCATAGGAATAAAAAGTTATTTGGTTAGACATATAATATTCCTTATTTACCATTCCAACATCCTCAGTAGGTCATAGACGATCTCCACATGGAGACGTTAGATGGAGAACCTAAGGATGAGGCAGCTCTTCAGTCAGACTGACTTTAGCAACTGCAAAAAGAGGTGACAGCGCATGGACAAACGTTTTCTCTGGTTCCTTCATTCCTGAATTAGTGCTTCCCAGATATTCTGGGATGACAGGCAGCTTTGTGTTTCAGGTGGTAGGTTTTCATGTTTATTTGTTCCTTGCAGATTGGAAGAAAGAAGAATAGAAAGTTAGTGAGTGTAAGGTGGTAGTGAGTGTAAGGACCCTGATCCTTCTGAAGTAGCCTCGGGGGAAGACGGGTGGAGGTGAGCTGGGTCTACCCAGGACCAGAGAAGCCCTCACAGAATGGAGGCCCTCTGGCCCAGGCAACTGAGCCTTTTCCAGGAAACATGATGGTCCACTTGTCTTTGCAGTAAATGTGACCCTGGATGCAGACACTGCCCACCCTGCCCTCCTGCTGTCTGAAGGTGGGAAACGAGTAACATGGCAAGAAACTTGTCAAGACCCACCCAGCTCCACAAAGAGATTCGACTACCTTCCCTGTGTGCTGGGTCGGCAGGACATCAGCTCAGGAAAATATTACTGGGAGGTGGAGGTTGGGGACAGCCATTCCTGGGACCTAGGAATCTGTAGGGATAATGTAAAAAGGAAGGGGAGGGTCACTATGTCCCCACAGAATGGTTTCTGGGCCATCAGGCTCTATGACGGGGAATACTGGGCTCTCACCTCCCCAGAAACTCGTCTTACTCTAAGAGAAAGGCCCCTTCATGTGGGNGTCTTACTCTAAGAGAAAGACCCCTTCATGTGGGGATATTCCTGGATTATGAGGCTGGAAATGTATCTTTCTGTAACATGCCAGATGGATCCCCTATTTTCACCTTCCCCCAGGACACATTTAGTGGTGTCCTAAGACCACTTTTCAGACTTTGGTCCTCTGGCTCAGGCCCCTTGACCATAGTCCACGNAAGAGAAGTATTTCTCTTCCTTTACAGAGAACAACCCACCTGTTCTCTACTCCTACTGCCCTCTCTGGTCCTGGGACACGCCCCTTACTCCTCTCAGCCTTTCTATTAGTTCTTTCCCATGAACCTTAAAATTTTCAAAATTTACCCATCTAAAAATCAAAACAATTACGTATTCAACCATCTCCATATCCCCTTACGCATTCTTCTGTCTTTTATAATCAACCCTCTCAAAATAATTATCTAAAAACCTGATTCTCATTTCCTTCTCAGTACACTCTAGGTGAGGGGTTGAACTGTCTCCCTCACCAACACCCAAAAATCATGTGCTGAGGTCCTGACCCTTAGTGACCCAGAATGCGACCTTATTTGGAAACAGGGTCTTTGCAGATGTAACTAATTAAGATGGAGTAGAGTGGGTCCCTAATCCAATAGGACTCAAGTCTTTATAAAAAGGGAAATTTGGACACAGACATGCACACAGGGAGATGCATGTGAAGACTGGAGTTTGGCTGCTATAAATTAAGGAACATCCAAGATTACTGGCAAACCACCAAAAGTTAGGATTGAGGCCTGGAGCGGATCTTTCCCTAGCACCTTCAGAGCAAGCATGGCCCTGTCAACACTTTGATCTCAGACTTCTGGATTCCACAACTATAATACAATAAATTGCTGTTGTTTATGCTACTCCTTTTGTGATACTTTGTTAGAGTATAGTAGCAGAACTTGCAAATTAATACTTTTTTTTTTGAAATGCAATCTGATTATTTTCTTAAAAATAATGCAAAACTAATATATCAAACTAAAAATCTTCTGCACAGCAAAAGAAACCTTCTTTTCTAAAATCACAGAAAACCCACTTGTTTCTGTGTATGGGAAGCCTCAGGGGCTTCCTTAAGTCTCATAAACCTACCCTTCCTGGTCGCANGCTGCTATAAATTAAGGAACATCCAAGATTACTGGCAAACCACTAAAAGTTAGGATTGAGGCCTGGAGCAGATCTTTCCCTAGCACCTTCAGAGCAAGCATGGCCCTGTCAACACTTTGATCTCAGACTTCTGGATTCCACAACTATAATACAATAAATTGCTGTTGTTTATGCTACTCCTTTTGTGATACTTTGTTAGAGTATAGTAGCAGAACTTGCAAATTAATACTTTTTTTTTTGAAATGCAATCTGATTATTTTCTTAAAAATAATGCAAAACTAATATATCAAACTAAAAATCTTCTGCACAGCAAAAGAAACCTTCTTTTCTAAAATCAGAGAAAACCCACTTGTTTCTGTGTATGGGAACCTCAGGGGCTTCCTTAAGTCTCATAAACCTACCCTTCCTGGTCCCAGCACTAGAGCTTGGTTAGAGTTGGACAAGTCAGACTGGAAAGGCCCAGAGAAACCAGACACTAGAGAGGATGGTGGAGGTGAGCCAGATACTAGGCCGCAGTCCAGCAACTGGAAGGAGCAGTTTGGTACAGCAAGGAAACCTTAAGTAACATAAGAGCAGGGATAGTTGGGCAGGTGGTCAACTTCAAGGAGGGAGGGNGAGAAAACCCACTTGTTTCTGTGTATGGGAACCTCAGGGGCTTCCTTAAGTCTCATAAACCTACCCTTCCTGGTCCCAGCACTAGAGCTTGGTTAGAGTTGGACAAGTCAGACTGGAAAGGCCCAGAGAAACCAGGCACTAGAGAGGATGGTGGAGGTGAGCCAGATACTAGGCCGCAGTCCAGCAACTGGAAGAAGCAGTTTGGTACAGCAAGGAGACCTTAAGTAACATGAGAGCAGGGATAGTTGGGCAGGTGGTCAACTTCAAGGAGGGAGGGCCTGTCTTAAGGGAAAGCAGAAAAACCTACATAGAGTTTGTGAGCATGCCTAGCAATCAGAAAACTAGAAGGTAGGCAGTGGGATAGGAAGGACAGATGTTTGTCCTTGGCAAGTAGAGATCCAGTATTGGGNATAGAGTTTGTGAGCATGCCCAGGAATCAGAAAACTAGCAGGTAGGCAGTGGGATAGGAAGGACAGATGCTTGTACTTGGCAAGTAGAGATCCAGTATTGGGGCTGCGTCTAGAATTAGCCACCTGGGTGAGACTGGGGTTAGCACTGCCAAAGCAGACACAAGAGGCAGCTGTAAACAGGAGAGGACAGGCAAAATCTCAGCATGGACTATGGGATCCAAGCTCTTGGAACTGAATGGAAGTAAAGTGGCTGAGCTACTAGGCATCCAGACAATGACTGNCCGTGGGACTGAATGGAAGTAAAGTGGCTGAGCTACTAGGCATCCAGACAATGACTGTGATAAAGTAGCATCAATGCCTATGGATTGAGATCAGAATTTTTCCAGTTTTATGTGAGTGAAAAGACATTTTCCAAGATGAAATACATAAAATCTCATTACCAATAGACAGAGATGAGCATTTGTAATCAATTTGGAGACAGCAAACAATAATTTTGAACCTCAATTAAACAAAATGTTATCACCCAGCCCTGAAACAAAAAAAGAGTTCCATTCTTATTACTAGACCTGTTATCAAAAAGTACTTTATTATTACATTTTTAATTTTGTCAAAAAATGTGAAAACAATTTCCTATCTTATTATATAGATATACATGCCTTCAATTTTGTACACATGCTTATAAATACCTGCATTATCTTTGGTTTTCCCTCTTGTCCTAAAGGCTTAAATAGTTACAATCTGGCCCAATGCAGTACTGCTGATCTGTGATCTACACATTAATTCTTTCAAGTTTCAAAGGCTACATTTTTTTACTGAAATATGATTGACACATAATATTGTATTATTTTTAAGTGTATAATATAATGATTGATATCTGTATATATTGCAAAATAATTACCACAATAAGTTTAGTTAATCTCCATTACCACACTTAGCTACAATTATTTTATGAGATTTTAAGATATACTCTTGTAGCAACTTGCAAGTGTACCATACACTATTGTTAACTATAGTCACCAAATGTGTTATAGCCCCAGAGCTTATTTATCTTAGAATTGGAAGTTCATATCTTTTGGGCACCTTTACCCTTTCCCCCCGTTCCTCCCAAACTTCCCCTTTGATAACCAATAATCAATTTTGTGTATGTATAACTTCAGAGAGAGTCATTAGTAGGCAGCCTCCTGCACCGCCCCCGCTGAGGGATCGAGCCCAAAACCTGGGCGGGTGCCCTGACTGGGAATGGAACCGTGACCTCCTGGACCATAGGTCAATGCTCAGTCACTGAGCCATGCCGGCCGGGCAGGATGTCCTTTTTTATAGCTTAATTATACAGATAATGTTTTCTTTATACATTCATCCATCAATGGCCACTTAGGTTGTTTTCATATTGTGGCATTGTAAATAAGTCAGCATGAACATGGGGGTCAGATATCTTTTTGAGATAGTGATTTTTCTATTTTTTCAATGAGTCTCCAGACGTGGAATTGATGGGTCATATGATTTCTCTATTTTTAATTGTTTTGTGGACCCCAAAACTATTAACTCCTGTGCCTGCACCAATTTACCTTCCCATCAACAGTGCACAATGGATCCCTTTTCTCCCTGTCCTCACAAACATTTGTAGGTTTTCTTTTTTGTGCTTTTAATAGTAGCCATTCTAATAGATGTGAAGGAATGTCTCATTGGAGTTTTCATTTCCATTTGCCTGCTTAGTGATGTCGAGCATCTTTTCATGTAACCCTTCGCCATTGGTGTGTTTTCTTTGAAAAACTGTTCAGCCTTTCTGCCCATTTTTAAAAAGGTTTTCTTAAATTTATAAATTGCTTTGGGTAGTACAGACATTTTGATGATATTAATTCTTCCAATCCATGACCATGGTATTTTCTTCCACTAGTTCAAATCTTCCTCTAGTTCTTTTTTCAGTGTCACTTAGTTTTCTGAGTACAGGTCTTTTACATCTTGGTTAAGTTTATTCCTAGGTATCTTATTTTTTTAGTTGCAATGGTAAATGGTATTGCTTTTTTAGTTTCTCTCTCTGAAAGTTCATTGTTGGTGTATAAGAATGCCATTGATTTCCGGATGTTGATTTTGTGTCCAGCTACCTTGCCAAATTCATTTATCAAATCTAGTAGTATTTTGATGGAGTCTTTAGGGTTTTCTATGTACAGTATCATGTCATCTGCAAATAATGACAGTTTTACTTCTTCGTTTCCAATTTGGATACCTTTTATGTTTTCTTCCTGTCTGATGGCTATGGCGAGGACTTCCAGTACTACGTTGAATAAGAGTGGAGAAAGTGGACATCCCTGTCTTGTTCCTCATTTTAAGGGAAAGACCTTCAGTTTTTGCCCATTGAGTATGATGTTGGCTGTAGGTTTGTCATATATGGCCTTTATTATGTTGAGGTATGATCCCTCTATTCCCACTTTGCTGAGAGTTTTTATCAGAAATGGGTGCTGGATTTTGTCGAATGCTTTTTCTGCATCTATTGATATGATCATATGATTTTTGTCCTTCATTTTGTTTATGTGATGTATCACATTTATTGATTTGCGGATGTTGTACCAGCCTTGCATCCC